TTTTGGAACACAACCAATAAACACATACAATACACTCAGACACTCCCACACAAAATCCTCCCCTCTGCCGGTGATTCAATTATCTTATACAATGGGTAATGTAATTTAGCACAAGCAGAGAAATACAATTTTTCCACATTATTCATAACTTGAAAAGTATGCATCACATTCACATAAATTACATTTTCAGAATCAGCATACTCCAAATGCAAACATACGTCAAAATCATACAAATTGGTCCAGTGGTTCAAAAGATAGATCGTAGTCCTTTGTGACCACAGGAAGCATGGCTTTTCTGCCCAAAACCAGTTCCACAGAGTCTTCTATCCTGGAGATAATTGTGAAGTAATCCAATTATCTCCAAAGACAGAGACAAAACTCCATTGAACACATGGAAGCAAAAAGACAGTAAAATACAATAAAATACACAAGGTTACATTTATGACATAAAATACAGACATACAACATGTGCCCAGATAGCTTAGGTCTGAGCGCACATTATTACTGAACGACGCTCAAAGCACACACATACAGTTCAATTGCCATGGAGCCAAAGTCTTTCCTATAGTCTTTCATTATGCGAATGGGCTCCATGGCATAGCTATCTGGGGTATCACTGCTCAAACAGGGCAAGCACCAAATGAACCGGCTTTCTTGTCTTTGCAGGGGAAAATCAAGCCTTTTAACATGGGGCCATAATCCAAAGGCAACAGGCGAGCAACCAGGCTTCTCCAATGCAATGTGGCGAGATTGCTCTCGTCACACACACTATTATCAGAGGTCACTATTTTTAATATATTGCACTCCCATCAATTAATTGACTCTTGATGAATTACTCACCCACAGGATAGCGACTTCACCTTCTATTCATCAGCAGCTGGTAGTTATTCAAGGATAGATATGTTCTTTGCCAATCTTAAACATTTACACCAACTTAATTGGAAATATTCCGTGGTCAGACCACTCCCCTAATTTTTTTAATTTAGACCTTCAGGGAAACCTCATGCAGACTTATTTATGACACCCTCTCACAATTTCACAGAAAATTATACACCAGATATGACTGATCCTTGGATATGGGAAGCACACAAAGGGGTGACTCGGGGCATTCTAATTAAATGGGGATCTAGGCTTAAAAGGGAACGAAGAGAAAAAATACATTCCCTTACTACAGTAATACATGACATGGAGATCAGACACAAACAGATCCCATCACAAGAACATTTTCAATGCCTAACAGCAACAACTGGTTAGTTTGAATAAAGTATTTAACAAGCCAAGAAGAAAGGTCAAAATAAGAAATACAATCTACTTGGCAATTGTAAGAAAAATCTTTACCTAGGTTCAATTAAAAATCCATATACCTATAGAAAGTGGCAACTTAAAGGGACAATATAGGCACAAAAACAACTTTAGCTTAATGAAGCAGTCGCACCTTCCTGCATGTGGCTTTACTCTTCCTGTAAAGAGAGATCTAATGCTTAAAACTCTTTGACTGCACATTCTGTTTCCTTTAGAATTTCATATTTTCTACTCTTTTAGTAGTCTGCTAGCCTCTTGTGTGTGAATAAATCTTGATTTACAAAGCAGGAAATAAGAACTTCTGAAGTAAGATTAAGATTATATTGAAAATGAAACCATTTCTTTTATGCAGGTTGTGTCAGTCACGGCCAGGGGGGATGTATCTAGTGCTGCATAAATAAAAAGCATATGCTCAACATGCACATTAGGTCCTCAGTGCTCTTCTATGAGCAGCATTGGATTGGACAATAGTGGAGGAGGCCCTGCTTCCTCTTTGAGATCACTGCGGGAGAATAACTAAGCAGCATCAAGAGAGTCTCATGCTGTAACAAGATGAACAGTTTTACTACACTAGTCAGGGACACTATAGAGTTGTATTCCTAATGCAATAGTGATTTCCACTGATTTTTGCAAGTGACCAAGTGGAGGCGATGGGTAGTAGATATGTTTAGTGTAAAAGAAAAGGAGGCTTAATATGCTGGGTGGTATATGTAACTACATATGATGGACATTTAGAAATGAACTTGTATTAGGTGGAATAAACAAATACAATTTGTAATGTTTGATAAATTGATTATTATATGTTTTGGACAGGGAGTCTTTATTTTAATGAGAGCTCATTTTTAAATTGTTCCTGCTTTTGCAAGTTAAAATGTTCAAAAACCACCTATAGCCATCAGGATGTGTTACGGATGTCTGTAAAGTGTTCCCAAGTTTGTATTTTACATGTGCAAATTGTTAGTGCTTTGTATTGTACACTACACTCAGGCTTGAGATGAGAGAAAATACAATGCAATAACTGATTAGGTACAATTCTTTGTTGTTTGATAAAATGAAACACCTTTTGTAACATTTTATTTTAACCGACTCAAGGCCTTAACTTGTATGGTAAATGCAATTCATAGAGGAAAGTATTATTTTAAAATGAGTTTGCCTTCTAAGCAAATTATTTAATTTTGTTTTGCTACAAAAGAGTTATATGCAGTGGGTTTTATACTGATTTATGAGTTATGACATGTTCATTTGCACTATTTCCAGTGTAAAATAGCAGCAAGAAAAGCTATCAACCTTGTTGTTAATTCTCAACTTTCCAGATCTTTATATTTAGATTCTTGGATCTATAAAAAAAGATACATTTTGTTTTGGTTTGGTGGTATATGTGGATGGGTAAATCTTCTTTGAATTTGGTAGAGTAATTTCTTCCAAAGTATACAATTTAGGTTAACAAAAGAATGAATATTTTTTTCTTTAGTTCACTTTGAATTCTCATATGTTGTCAAGATTTAAGTTGGTTTTAGCCAGCAGAATAGCAGCATTAACCAGGTTGATAAGAAAAGAAAGAAACAAGTGCATACATTCAGCATGATGCCCAACAAAGCACTGTGTTATGACAAAACAGTAAAGTTAAGTGAACCAAATGAAGAGCAGATTCATAATGCACAAGATGTCCAATCTGATTATTAATTCTAATATTATTCTGACAACCCCATGTTAAGTTTGGCATAGCAGGGAACATGACTATGGAGATAATAAGTGTAATTAATCAAAGAATAAATTGTGATGAGTAATAGTTTATTAAGACAATAAAAGAAACAACAAATAACTTAAATACAATAGTGAAAATTAGTGTGAAGTAGAAATGTAATGAGTTCAATTATTATGACATTGTCAAGCAAATCTTATGTTTATATTATTTTTTGGATACCAGGATGTTACACCGTTTTTTGAGCTGCTTTTTGCTCTGAATATTCGCTGTTATAGGGATAGATTTTAGTGAGTTACCTGGTGGTTAGATATAACCTTTTCAAGCTGTTGTACTATACCTTTGTTAGGTTATTTCCACTTTATTTTTCACTCTCACTTATTTACCTTCTCTATCCTTTCGATTTCCATACATTAGTGTTTATCCTGTGGGGTCTAGTGCAAGATATTAGTCACTTTATATATTTACCACTCTTTTATGAGTGAGTTTGATACAATGTATATATACTGATCTATGCGAGTCTGGTTACATTCCTCAGACACTAGACCCTTTATATCCATTTATTTTATTTACTTTATTCTGCACTTTTGTATGTGGTGTTTCCTCATTTTTTCCTATTAAAGTTGTTTATTATTTTTATTTTTGAGACGCTATTTCTTGGGGTGGCTTGAAGGTGATCATACCCCCCCCTTTTTCTTAAGGAGGGTTGATCATTTCCTTCATCTTTCTCCCTCTATTGTGCTTTACGCTGGGTTATGCCCATTTTGCCACCCTTTTAACCCTCTTTGACTGGTACTTCCCATTAGTTTGGGAAGTGCCTCTTTTTCTATCTTATGTTTATATTACCTCGTGAAAATATCCTAAAAGTCAACACAGGAAAGTAGAAATTATATTTTCAATTTACTTGCTTATAGTTTTTGTCATAATGTAGTTCATCATTTGTTAGATAAATTTGTATGGTTTGTGATATCATACAATGCTAATTAATAGTAAGTAAATACAAAATATGATATTAACTGCCTTTTCCAAGGTGAATATTGTAAATAACATGCACATTTGTACCAGGTGCATTACTTACAATGCCAGTTATATCATATTTTTGGTCATTTCATTAAATATTATATTCGGAGATCAAATCCATAATTCATAATATTTTTACAACTAAACATTGTTTATGCTTTGTATCTTTTTTTTTAACTTTTGAATACAGTATCATATGATTTACCAGTTTTTAATTGTAAGTAACAATGTAACAGATGGAGATTCATTTCAGTACTTACATGTTCTGGGAAACATGTCAAAATCATCCAAGATACTATATCTAGATTGAATTATATTATACTAAAATATTCCCTTCCTCGTTTGCCATGTAATGAAAGATTATGCATAATTTTCCTTTTTTTGGATAATTCTGCTTTGTCGTATTAAAACACAAAAATCACTGTGGAGTTTATCCTTAGTTCAATTGCTGATATATAATTAATGTGTGTCACATATTTAATTTCCATTGTACTTTGGAGATAAAACGCAAAGATCTTTGCTGCATCTGCTTGTGAAAATCTTTGGGGTTTTTTTATTAGAAAGTTATTTTCCTTTACATGGCTTGCTGTAATAAAATGTAGATGAATGTTGAAATTCCTGTGCAGTTTTGTTCAATTAATTCATAAAGAAAAGTCAGATTTTGCATGTACTTTTGCATTATATTAACACTGCCAAAGCAGTTTTATCCATTGGAGGAGTGGGAGTACCTTTCAACCAATAATCTTCAGAGTGAGCACATAATATCTGCTTTTAACTGTCTTCGTGCTCTCCTCCCCCGTCAGTGACTCACCCTCCCTTTCTCAGTTTGATCTGCAGGAAAAACAAAATCCTTTAAAACCACTTGAATAAAGAGAACAGTTAAGGTGGATTTAATTTGCTTTATTGGATTATTTCAGACCATATCATGTATTTTTGATTGATTTAGCAGCCATTGTCACGGAAATATTCAATTACCATGGACTCACAAATCCTTTGGAGCATTTGGAAATGGCAAGTACTTTGTATTTTGTATATGAGCTGCTGGGGATGGGGATGGGGACAGCTTCACTACACTGTGATAGAGGAGTCAGAACCTGGAACTCTATTAGGGAATGTGGCTAGTGACCTGGGTTTATCTATGAAACAAATCTCTGAACGGAGGCTACGATTAGGATCCGAGGAAAACAGGAGGTATTTTTCCATTAAACTAGAAAGTGGAGATCTGCTTCTAAATGAAAAGATAGACAGAGAAAATCTGTGCTCTTTTAGCTCAAGCTGTTTACTTGCTGTGGAGTTGATTATAGAAAGACCATTAGAGCTGTTTCGTTTGGCTGTTGAAATTTTGGACATTAATGATAACTCTCCGTATTTTGTTAACGCTGACCGTGTGGTGAAAATGGCAGAACTAGCAGCTCCTGGCCTTAGATTTCCACTAGAGAGTGCAGTTGATCCAGATGTTGGAACAAATGCAGTTCGCTCATACCAGATCAGTCAAAGTCAATATTTTTCATTAAATGTCAAACAATTAAAAGATGGAAAACTTTTTCCTGAATTGGTGTTAGAGAATGCCTTGGACAGAGAAGAAATTCGAGAACATCACCTAATTTTAATTGCTGTGGATGGTGGCCAACCATCCAAAACTGGAACTACAAAAATAACTGTTCAAGTTTTGGATAATAATGACAATCCACCCATATTTGATCAGTCTGTGTACAAAACCAGTTTAATGGAAAATATGCCATTGTATACATTTCTAATTAAGCTTAATGCCACTGACTCGGATGAAGGTTCAAATAGTGAAATTGAATATTCTTTTGAAGATCACACATCCAGCAGAGTGCGTGAACTGTTTAGACTTGACTCATTTACTGGTGAAATTTGGGTACAAAGAGAAATTGATTTTGAAGAATCTAGTTTCTATGAAATCTATATAAGAGCTAAAGATAAAGGGGTTCCAGTAATGGAAGGCCATTGTGTTATTCAGGTTGAAATTGAAGATTCCAATGATAATGCTCCTGAAGTTGTTATAACTTCTCTTGAAAAATCAATTCCAGAAAACACACCCATTGGAACCGTAGTTGGGATATTCAATGTAAATGACCGAGATTCTGGTAAAAATGGAGAGGTGCAAATGAAACTACCATTAGGACTTCCTTTCAAATTCAAATCTGTTGAAAACCATTATTCTTTAATCACAGATTATATTTTAGACAGGGAGGTTACATCACATTACACTATCTACTTGGTAGCTGTGGATCTGGGGTCTCCCCCAATGTTTACAGAATTGACAATAGTCCTTAATATATCAGATGTCAATGATAATTCACCACAGTTCTCCCACCCATCTTTCAATGCATATTTACATGAAAATAATGTCCCTGGAGTATTGCTTTATACATTAGATGCTACAGACGTGGATGAGGGTGAAAATGCCATTCTTAAATTCTGTATTTCAGAAACATTTATATCAGGATCCCCACTATCTTCATTTATATATATCAATGAATACACTGGGAATGTGTATGCACAGCGATCTTTTGACTATGAAGAAACACAACTTTTGGACATTCCAGTTTGTGTGGAAGATGGAGGTTCTCCAAAGCATAGGTCGAATGCTACTCTATACATATTTATCTTGGATCAAAATGATAACCATCCAATTATTTTATATCCCCTTTTAATCAAAGATACAGCTGAGCATCAAAAAGTCCCACACCCAGTTTCTGCAGGATGTTTGATCACCAAAGTAGCTGCTGTAGACCCCGACTCAGGATACAATGCCTTGCTTACTTATACTATCTTAGACGCCACTGACCTTTCTTTTATTCGAATTAATTCACATACTGGAGAGATTAAAACAGTACGACCATTAACTGAGACAGATGAAAATACTCACACTATTATGGTCATGGTTAAAGACAATGGCGAACCAGCTTTATCAAGTACAGCTACCCTCATTATGCATTTTGAAGAACCTATTATTGATGAAACTCTGGAATCTCAAGACTACCAGACAACAAACAATGATCAATCTGATTTGACATTGTATTTAATAATATCTCTTGCGGCTATAAGTGTAGTATCACTTGTGACCTTCGTTGTTTTAACTATCAAGTGTTTAAGAACAGAGAGTAGTCAATGTATGTGCAGTTATGTGAGTGATATGCAGTGGGTTTTATACTGATTTATGAGTTATGACATGTTCATTTGCACTATTTCCAGTGTAAAATAGCAGCAAGAAAAGCTATCAACCTTGTTGTTAATTCTCAACTTTCCAGATCTTTATATTTAGATTCTTGGATCTATAAAAAAAGATACATTTTGTTTTGGTTTGGTGGTATATGTGGATGGGTAAATCTTCTTTGAATTTGGTAGAGTAATTTCTTCCAAAGTATACAATTTAGGTTAACAAAAGAATGAATATTTTTTTCTTTAGTTCACTTTGAATTCTCATATGTTGTCAAGATTTAAGTTGGTTTTAGCCAGCAGAATAGCAGCATTAACCAGGTTGATAAGAAAAGAAAGAAACAAGTGCATACATTCAGCATGATGCCCAACAAAGCACTGTGTTATGACAAAACAGTAAAGTTAAGTGAACCAAATGAAGAGCAGATTCATAATGCACAAGATGTCCAATCTGATTATTAATTCTAATATTATTCTGACAACCCCATGTTAAGTTTGGCATAGCAGGGAACATGACTATGGAGATAATAAGTGTAATTAATCAAAGAATAAATTGTGATGAGTAATAGTTTATTAAGACAATAAAAGAAACAACAAATAACTTAAATACAATAGTGAAAATTAGTGTGAAGTAGAAATGTAATGAGTTCAATTATTATGACATTGTCAAGCAAATCTTATGTTTATATTATTTTTTGGATACCAGGATGTTACACCGTTTTTTGAGCTGCTTTTTGCTCTGAATATTCGCTGTTATAGGGATAGATTTTAGTGAGTTACCTGGTGGTTAGATATAACCTTTTCAAGCTGTTGTACTATACCTTTGTTAGGTTATTTCCACTTTATTTTTCACTCTCACTTATTTACCTTCTCTATCCTTTCGATTTCCATACATTAGTGTTTATCCTGTGGGGTCTAGTGCAAGATATTAGTCACTTTATATATTTACCACTCTTTTATGAGTGAGTTTGATACAATGTATATATACTGATCTATGCGAGTCTGGTTACATTCCTCAGACACTAGACCCTTTATATCCATTTATTTTATTTACTTTATTCTGCACTTTTGTATGTGGTGTTTCCTCATTTTTTCCTATTAAAGTTGTTTATTATTTTTATTTTTGAGACGCTATTTCTTGGGGTGGCTTGAAGGTGATCATACCCCCCCCTTTTTCTTAAGGAGGGTTGATCATTTCCTTCATCTTTCTCCCTCTATTGTGCTTTACGCTGGGTTATGCCCATTTTGCCACCCTTTTAACCCTCTTTGACTGGTACTTCCCATTAGTTTGGGAAGTGCCTCTTTTTCTATCTTATGTTTATATTACCTCGTGAAAATATCCTAAAAGTCAACACAGGAAAGTAGAAATTATATTTTCAATTTACTTGCTTATAGTTTTTGTCATAATGTAGTTCATCATTTGTTAGATAAATTTGTATGGTTTGTGATATCATACAATGCTAATTAATAGTAAGTAAATACAAAATATGATATTAACTGCCTTTTCCAAGGTGAATATTGTAAATAACATGCACATTTGTACCAGGTGCATTACTTACAATGCCAGTTATATCATATTTTTGGTCATTTCATTAAATATTATATTCGGAGATCAAATCCATAATTCATAATATTTTTACAACTAAACATTGTTTATGCTTTGTATCTTTTTTTTTAACTTTTGAATACAGTATCATATGATTTACCAGTTTTTAATTGTAAGTAACAATGTAACAGATGGAGATTCATTTCAGTACTTACATGTTCTGGGAAACATGTCAAAATCATCCAAGATACTATATCTAGATTGAATTATATTATACTAAAATATTCCCTTCCTCGTTTGCCATGTAATGAAAGATTATGCATAATTTTCCTTTTTTTGGATAATTCTGCTTTGTCGTATTAAAACACAAAAATCACTGTGGAGTTTATCCTTAGTTCAATTGCTGATATATAATTAATGTGTGTCACATATTTAATTTCCATTGTACTTTGGAGATAAAACGCAAAGATCTTTGCTGCATCTGCTTGTGAAAATCTTTGGGGTTTTTTTATTAGAAAGTTATTTTCCTTTACATGGCTTGCTGTAATAAAATGTAGATGAATGTTGAAATTCCTGTGCAGTTTTGTTCAATTAATTCATAAAGAAAAGTCAGATTTTGCATGTACTTTTGCATTATATTAACACTGCCAAAGCAGTTTTATCCATTGGAGGAGTGGGAGTACCTTTCAACCAATAATCTTCAGAGTGAGCACATAATATCTGCTTTTAACTGTCTTCGTGCTCTCCTCCCCCGTCAGTGACTCACCCTCCCTTTCTCAGTTTGATCTGCAGGAAAAACAAAATCCTTTAAAACCACTTGAATAAAGAGAACAGTTAAGGTGGATTTAATTTGCTTTATTGGATTATTTCAGACCATATCATGTATTTTTGATTGATTTAGCAGCCATTGTCACGGAAATATTCAATTACCATGGACTCACAAATCCTTTGGAGCATTTGGAAATGGCAAGTACTTTGTATTTTGTATATGAGCTGCTGGGGATGGGGATGGGGACAGCTTCACTACACTGTGATAGAGGAGTCAGAACCTGGAACTCTATTAGGGAATGTGGCTAGTGACCTGGGTTTATCTATGAAACAAATCTCTGAACGGAGGCTACGATTAGGATCCGAGGAAAACAGGAGGTATTTTTCCATTAAACTAGAAAGTGGAGATCTGCTTCTAAATGAAAAGATAGACAGAGAAAATCTGTGCTCTTTTAGCTCAAGCTGTTTACTTGCTGTGGAGTTGATTATAGAAAGACCATTAGAGCTGTTTCGTTTGGCTGTTGAAATTTTGGACATTAATGATAACTCTCCGTATTTTGTTAACGCTGACCGTGTGGTGAAAATGGCAGAACTAGCAGCTCCTGGCCTTAGATTTCCACTAGAGAGTGCAGTTGATCCAGATGTTGGAACAAATGCAGTTCGCTCATACCAGATCAGTCAAAGTCAATATTTTTCATTAAATGTCAAACAATTAAAAGATGGAAAACTTTTTCCTGAATTGGTGTTAGAGAATGCCTTGGACAGAGAAGAAATTCGAGAACATCACCTAATTTTAATTGCTGTGGATGGTGGCCAACCATCCAAAACTGGAACTACAAAAATAACTGTTCAAGTTTTGGATAATAATGACAATCCACCCATATTTGATCAGTCTGTGTACAAAACCAGTTTAATGGAAAATATGCCATTGTATACATTTCTAATTAAGCTTAATGCCACTGACTCGGATGAAGGTTCAAATAGTGAAATTGAATATTCTTTTGAAGATCACACATCCAGCAGAGTGCGTGAACTGTTTAGACTTGACTCATTTACTGGTGAAATTTGGGTACAAAGAGAAATTGATTTTGAAGAATCTAGTTTCTATGAAATCTATATAAGAGCTAAAGATAAAGGGGTTCCAGTAATGGAAGGCCATTGTGTTATTCAGGTTGAAATTGAAGATTCCAATGATAATGCTCCTGAAGTTGTTATAACTTCTCTTGAAAAATCAATTCCAGAAAACACACCCATTGGAACCGTAGTTGGGATATTCAATGTAAATGACCGAGATTCTGGTAAAAATGGAGAGGTGCAAATGAAACTACCATTAGGACTTCCTTTCAAATTCAAATCTGTTGAAAACCATTATTCTTTAATCACAGATTATATTTTAGACAGGGAGGTTACATCACATTACACTATCTACTTGGTAGCTGTGGATCTGGGGTCTCCCCCAATGTTTACAGAATTGACAATAGTCCTTAATATATCAGATGTCAATGATAATTCACCACAGTTCTCCCACCCATCTTTCAATGCATATTTACATGAAAATAATGTCCCTGGAGTATTGCTTTATACATTAGATGCTACAGACGTGGATGAGGGTGAAAATGCCATTCTTAAATTCTGTATTTCAGAAACATTTATATCAGGATCCCCACTATCTTCATTTATATATATCAATGAATACACTGGGAATGTGTATGCACAGCGATCTTTTGACTATGAAGAAACACAACTTTTGGACATTCCAGTTTGTGTGGAAGATGGAGGTTCTCCAAAGCATAGGTCGAATGCTACTCTATACATATTTATCTTGGATCAAAATGATAACCATCCAATTATTTTATATCCCCTTTTAATCAAAGATACAGCTGAGCATCAAAAAGTCCCACACCCAGTTTCTGCAGGATGTTTGATCACCAAAGTAGCTGCTGTAGACCCCGACTCAGGATACAATGCCTTGCTTACTTATACTATCTTAGACGCCACTGACCTTTCTTTTATTCGAATTAATTCACATACTGGAGAGATTAAAACAGTACGACCATTAACTGAGACAGATGAAAATACTCACACTATTATGGTCATGGTTAAAGACAATGGCGAACCAGCTTTATCAAGTACAGCTACCCTCATTATGCATTTTGAAGAACCTATTATTGATGAAACTCTGGAATCTCAAGACTACCAGACAACAAACAATGATCAATCTGATTTGACATTGTATTTAATAATATCTCTTGCGGCTATAAGTGTAGTATCACTTGTGACCTTCGTTGTTTTAACTATCAAGTGTTTAAGAACAGAGAGTAGTCAATGTATGTGCAGTTATGTGAGTGATACTGAGTTAAATAACATCCCATGTCAGCTTCCTCCAAGTGTGCAGTTGAATGCTGATGGTACATTAAGGTACATGGAAGTACAAACAAGTTCACGAGCTTCCACTTATAAGACCTGGCAATCTCCAGCTTTAGATAGAACAGATTTCACATTTTTGAGGCCCCTGGATTTCCCTCAACTAAAAGATATTTTGAATGATCCTGATGAACCGTTCACAAGAAGCTATGAATACACTGAGGAGTACCAGGTAAAAACATTTTTAAAATAAACAAACTGTAACAATAACATTTTTATATTTATCATGCCCAACAAAATATGGGTAAAATGCAATACATTCAACTAGAGATATTTGTATAAAATTGTTAGATTATTGGATATTGTTTTGACAGGTAGAAATACTTTAGAAATTGTAACAACTTTTCATTAGTATTTGAAATTGATCTTTCTTATGTTTTGCTCATTTTTTTTCTGTCTGAGTTTAAATAGTTTATACCCCAAAACATGAAGAAATCACTGGGCCTTATATGCATGCAATCAGTGTTTAGTAATGTACCCTTACTGTTAGCATATAGCATACTTTAGTAGAGATGTATCTATATTATATATGATTGTTATTATTCCACATGACTGTTTATATTTTTAGCTATATAATGGGAAATGCATTCATGATGACAGTGTAATTAAATGAACAATATAATGTTAGGAATATAAACATGTATTCCTAACTATATCATTTTAATCTTTCTAAACTAGAGTCGACATGTGAGGGTTGGAAGGGTGAGTTTTACCTTTTAGCCCT